TAAAAGGCGAAAAGAAAAAAAAAAGAAAACACTTGCACGATTTTGAGAGATCAACTACTACGTGCCCTTGTTTTTTGTTTTCTTCTACCTTTCCAATAGCAGCAAAACCTCAAAATGTTCACGTCTCTTTTGTGTCCGCACACTGTCCAAGTAAAAAGCCAGCTTTTCTTATTCCCCTCCTCTCTCCTCTCTTTAATTTTTGTTCAGGACCTTCCTTTATGAGATGAGCGATAATATACTAAATTCACACAAATTACACTAATTATATCATTCGAACCTAAAATCTTATCTGAAGGAGTTATTACGCCAAATCACTACACTAATAGGTCCTTTACTTCTCCTCCTCTCTTTTTATTTTGTCTTTTCAAATCTGTTCTCTTTTTCGGTCAACATCAATTAAATCTGATTGAGCAACTACTTTACATAAAATGACATGCTATAATAAATACCCACAGAGTTTGCTAAGTACCAGTTGTATGTATGTGAGTGCACTTAGAAAATACTCAAATTTGAACCTCAAACTTTAACCGATAAGATACCAAGTCCATTCACCAATTTGTTATGGCTACCTCTGGCGCTGCACCACCATTAAGGGTTCAAAATTACCATGAAGACGGAGAGCAGAATCTCATCAGCCAAGAAGAACCTTCCAGTTCCAGAGGTGGTTGGGGTGCTGCTATTTTCATCATCTGTAAGCCAACTTCTTCCTCTTCCACTTCTGCTTCTCTTAGAGTTTTTAAAATTAATCTCCAAAATCTTTTTGTATTTGATTGTTTCAGTTGTTGAGGTGGCAGAGAGATTTGCTTACTTTGGTATGGCTGGTAACCTCATCACATACCTCACAAATGAACTCCATGAGCCAATCCCCATGGCTGCAAAAAATGTAAATACTTGGGTTGGAGTCTCATCTCTCCTCCCATTACTTGGAGCCTTCATAGCTGATGCCTTTCTTGGCAGATTCAACACCATCTTTGTCTCCTCCATCATTTATTTACTGGTAAAGTTCAGCCAAAACTGATTTCATTTGTTACCCTTTGAAATAAAAACCATGATTGTTAGTTTTTCATGTCTTTCTGCAGGCAATGGTACTGCTAACCATATCAGTTTCAGTAATTCCTCTGCATTATCAGAAGGCAATGTTCTTTGTAGCACTTTACATGTTGTCAGTTGGACTAGCTGGGCACAAACCCTGTGTGCAAACCTTTGCAGCAGACCAGTTCCGTGAAGACTCACCGGAGGAGAAAAAGGCTAAGAGCTCATTCTTCAACTGGTGGTACTTGGGGATCACAGTTGGTGCCTCTGCTGCCATTTTAGTAGTCATATATGTGCAGGTCAACAGCCTCTTCCTCTTATCATATTTACATACACAAATAGTTTGTTTTGGGGGTTATTTTAGACGCGAAATTCATTTACCTTTTTGCATCCAATCCAAAAATTCTGTCCCGTTTGTGACAGTTTTTCATTTATTTATGACCAGTAAGAAAATGACATGTAAGTTGCTTGGTGATTAAAATTTGGGAAATTTTTTGGTGACACTCCTTATGTTCAAAATATTCCAAAATATATGTCAGAATTTTAAAACTTTGTCCTTGAATTGTGCCTGTAGTAATTTATGTATGAATGCTAAGATCAACACCATAATACTGCGGGCCTTTTAGCCCCACAATCATTTACTGATTATTGGAATGCTAAATCTCCCAAAATTTAATGATCATTGGAATTCTGAATCTCCCAAAATTTGTCACTCCTTGGTGCAGGATAATGTTGGGTGGGCGGCAGGGTTTGGCATATTGACAGGGGCAATGGCGGTAGCTTTGGCTGTGTTTCTGTTTGGTTACAAGAAATACAGAAAGCAGGGACCCTTAGGCAGCCCCTTCACCACGGTGGCTCAGGTGTTTGTGGCGGCGGTG